CTGCATAAAATATATATGGAAAAAATAAGCTTTTGGAAATATATAAAATACTTTTTGTTTTCCCATTGCTGAATTTACAAGCTAGGGAGACTGCAGTGCTACAGCAATTCTTAATTTGCACAGTTGTTTTTATCACTCTTAGTACAAAATATCACAAAATAAAACAGACCTAAGTCTCGCATAAATCTGATGGTAGTGTCACAAATTCAGATGCACATTTTTAAGTGGCTGCATCATTGCTTTAATTCAAAACACAGCCAGCAGGCTCAGTATGGCCTGGGAAGTTCTACAAAACACTTACAGATTTATTCATCTTTTGAAATAGTGGTGAATTTACATAGTACACCAATGCCCAATGGCCAAAACTGAGATTTGGACCCACATGATGTAGGGTGCTCTACACATAAAAAAAGACACAATCTGTGTCCCCAGATGCCTGCCTTGGGCTCAAGTGTTGCAGCCATGTAATGCTCCATCTTATTAATTCGTGACTTCCCCTGTTGCTGTAGACCACACAACGACTTCAAAGCAACAATCTCCCTTTTCATTTACGTGGATCCTGGTTCCACAATATTTTCCAATGTATTCATCCCTATGAAGGTGATTGATATTACAGAAAAGGATGAAAGAATGGAAAAGCTGCTGCATTGAACCCCACATCCCTGTCTAAACATACTTGGCTCTCGCCTTTGAAAATTATCTTGTATTTTTCTAGAGGGACAGTTACAAATGTCTTTTTCTTCACTGATTAGCTCACAGTGTCAAAGGAAGTGCCCACTGGCCTGGCACTCAGGATTAGAGCATCCCAGAATGGTTGAGGTTATAAGGAACCTCTGCAGGTCATGTCATCCAACCCCTTTGCTCAAGTAGGGCGACCTAGACCCAGTTGCCCAAGACCACGTCCTGATGGCTTTTGAATATCTCCAAGAATGGAGACTCCACGACCTCTCTGGGAAACCTGTGCCAGTGCTGTGGCACCTGCTAGCCATGATGTGGCTTCATAGTGTTACCAACAGTTTCTTTTTTCTCCATCCAGGGTAGTATAGGTTTGAATGGCATAAAGATGACTAGGACAGTAAAGGACAGTGAAGAGGAAAGAAAAGTAGAATAAATAAGCAACATAAATCAGAAAAGGAAAAAAAAATACAAAACAAGGAAAAATACCAAGAAAATCAAGTAAAAAAACCCCCAAACAAACAAAACCCAAAAAAGCAGAGCAAGCTTTCCTCTCACTCAGCCCAAGAAGAGAGGAACCCTGGTTCTGCTCCACGTGAAACAACATCATTACTCTTGACAGTAGGTTTCCTAAAAGCAGTGCAAGGTCAAATCAGAGAGAGAGAAAAAGTGCACAGAGGTCAGTAAAGCAAGGACGTTCACCTGTGTGTGACACATGGCTCCAGCACCAGCCCCTGGTGTGCAACATGAGCACAGGTCAAGGTCCAAAAGGAAGCTCTGAGAAACCACTAAGAGTCAAGTGCATGCTCCATTAAAGAGGGAACATTCCCAATGATATGGAAAAAGCAGTGCAGCATGGCACCTCTGAGCAGCCTCAGGGTATTGATTTGGTGCCAATGTCAGGGGTGGTGGTTGTCTTTCCATGTTCACATTGACCACGCTGCCTCTTTGAGACATTTGCACAAGCTGTCCCCCACTTCCCTCCAGCTTCTTCTCCCTCTGGGAAGCCGTGTGGAGCAGAGTGCTGATCCAGGACAGCGCTCATTAAACCAGGATCAGAAACGTGCATCCTGAGTCCACTGGAAGAGACAAAAACCTGCTGCTAGGTTCAGCAACAGCCCCGAGACAGCAAATAGAAGGGAAGGGCAGCTGGGGGAGGCAGACAAAGGGTGCATTATGATGATACAAGGTATCCAGAGCCAGACTTCAAATTCTGACACCATTTCAGCTCGGTGACACCAGGAGGCCCAACAGCCAACACTTGCCACTATCTCCCACACCTTTGAATTTTCCTGGGGTCATTGCACCCCGCTGCAGTCCCCTTTGCACCATCTGCAGCTCCTGCAAGTGGGAGACCACAGCTGGGATGGAAACAAGAAGGGGACCGGTGTCCTGGGTAGGGATGGAGAGATGTTAATATCAATGGGGAGGAAAGAACTTCTGCTTTCACTCTTTCATCATGAGTACAACATCCATCCATGAAAAATTCTTAGCAGAGAGCGCAGCAAACTTTTCTCTTTTCTGCATATAACATTTCTTACCAGTGAGGCAGGGTTCCTTCAAGCTGAGCACAGCCAGCGTGCCTCGGTCCTGGCATACCAATGTATCTTAACGTATATTGAGTGCCCATCATTTCAGCAGCTAAGCAGTCTCACATCCCATTTAGCATACACACAGTATTTTATAGAGCAGAACGCTGTAGAAATCATTTTCCGTTTGGTTTTTCCGCATGCTCGTTGCAGTGACATGCATCTGACCAATTAAGGCAAAACAGCTTTAGTTAATTAACTCTAAGGGACTAAGTGGTTCCCTGGCTGAAAGTCATGAGAGCTGCTTTTGATATTATGAGTGCCACTGATTCACTCTCAGCTGCTGGACAATTCACTTCGTCCTCCTAGGCTTCATTTTTCCCTGGTGCAAAATGTAGAGAAATAAAATTTGGTTTTTTTGGTGAAGTGCTTTTGAGAGCTGTGAACGCAAAGAGCTACGCATCATCAGTGAATCCTCAAACAGCCCCAGTGGGAAATGTATAGAAATAACACTGTCTTCACCGCGCCTCTGGAAAACTGAGCCACAATTGAGCAAAGCAACAAAGGAGCAAAACCCCCCTGACAGGCAGCAGTGGGGACAGGATGAGAATTTAGGGTTGTCTGACACCCTGACACCCACTTGTTCCTCCAGACCAGGCTAGCAGGACAGCACCTTCCTCTCATTTCTGCCCATGGCACCCCATTCTCCACCTCCAGCTGCTAGACTCCATGTCTTTGCTGCTGCATCATTTTATTTACCCTGGCCACCCTCCCCTTCAGCGAATCGACACATCCAATCACTTCCAACACCTGACAGCCTCCACTGAAGTTTTTCTGGTTGCAGGGATATTCCTGGTCACTCACACAAATTCCCTGTACGGTGTCATACGACTATACACATCCTTCAGTATTTTTTCAGATTTCCATTGGGTTTAGGATCTTAAACACTGTTGAGGTTTTTGCCAAAAGCTTTGCCTCAGGAAAAACTGACACCAGCATATTTTCTTTCATTCTATTCCTGTCACTCTACCGTTACTTAGTTTTATCTTGTCCTTTCATTCTACTCCACATAGTTGCAAGTCCCAAAGTTAACACAGCAGTTCCACGGTATATTAGCCAGAGCACGACAAATAATTTGCACCTGCTAACTAATTTGATTATTTTAATGGATTTGTATAATTGAGGAATGGGAGTGAACAGAACTTAATTTCATCATATTTTTTCAGTGTTTAAATAAATATATTTTAAGAAAAAATGTTCTTTGGACTTGCTTGTCAATATTTCTTCCTTTGGCAAAGAGTGGTTAGGTTTGGAGTAGTTAAACAAAAACTTTATCATTTCTGTTTTACAACAGATTGAGATAAAAGCATTTCTGGCACAAAATTTTGTCCATGTCAACTAAACATTCAGTTCTGAAAACAACCTTAAAATTAGATTTCATTGTAGGAGAAAGCAAGTGAAAAACTTCACCCGAACATTTCCTACCTCTTGTTTTGACTTTCTCAGGTTAAAGAAAACTATGCTATGGTAAAAAAGAAAATAGCAGGGTCTGCTCTGGGATCTAGAGTACCATGACGTGACTGGTGCCTCAGCTCCCACTGCAGACACTAGGAGAAGGACGGAGAAGTTTGCAGGCCAGCACATGGGAACCCCAGGTCTACTGAGGAAATCAATGGCTTTGCCTATGTTTGGCCAGAGACTGCTCTCAAATCATAGTCAAAACTCAAATCTCATTGTTCCTCTACCAGATCCAATTTTTCTCTATTGGCTTCAGGATGCTTGTAAAGCTACAGAAATTACTGTGGTTGCTCCTACTTTGCCCTTAGATTCTGACTTCTGCTGGTAGCTCACATGCGTCCAAAGACAGACTTCAGCTCAACACATCTCAAACCTCTGGAATAAAAAGGCAGGAGAGGGTGGTTTCTAAGGATTCATCATTTACATGGCCATACTATGTTAATCATTCTCCCAAGACAGCATTAAGAAGCAGTAACACTCTTT